TTACGCGGAAAATACATTGGGATTGATGGCAACAGAATGGATAATCGTGTCGTACGTTTTAGTCTGTATCTCCGGATTGTGCAGGTGTATATGAGGAAACTATTTTGCACGATGCTAGGCGAATGTACTGTGTACGATTTGAGCTCAAGTTGGTTGAGTTACGCATAGTAAATCGTAGGTATTCTAAGGCTAGTAAATGACGAATTTCCCTTGTTTATTGAAGTCACACTCTTTTCCTATTATCTACTTCTGATAATATGAATAAATTGCTGTGCTGTACAATAAATGTGTATGAACTTGGTTTGTGATCGCTTCTCATCCAATCAGCAGCCTTGCGACAGCAAATTATCAAATTCTTGTTATCGTAAGTTTTCTCATAGTAGCTGCGATGCGTTTCTGTCAACTCTATTCTCGTAACATTAACATTAGTCGTAAGTGCTATCTTAGCCTTATCATTAGCATTCACTTTGCGATGTTTCTGACAATGGCCCTCTGATGTCTATTTGACTTTTACTGGTGGGGCTTTACATTGTACAGTGTTTATAGTTCAAGCATTAGGGTTTTACGGTGTAAGTTTAGGTGTAAGCACATTGCAAATGATTGTTTTCTGCATAATCAAGGCTTTCGATATATTGTTTTCAAATTAGTAAGGGAAATCTAGTGTTAAATGTTTTTTAAGAGCATCTAAACTCTATTTATATTACATCTTTTATATATACTTGCTGCTTGTTGTATTACATTTTCTGTGCACTCGATAATATGATGGATGGTAGTTCCTTTACTTAGTATTCGTGGGGTTAAATTTACCTTAATCACTGACCATTATCACCCTTGAATTTTCAGTATACTACTCACAGCCACCGCAGCCACAACAGCAGCAACAGATGCCACCACAGCAGCCCTCCAGGCCACCGTCCGTGACTCAGGCTGCGACTTCCATGCCCCACCGCACAAAGAAACCTTTATCTATAGTCGATCCAGACACTGGTAGAGATGTCATGGGAGAGATTTCAGACATACAGGTTGGTATTCAGATTTCTTTGCATCGAGCTAAAACGAGTAAAATAGCCTAAGCAATGCCATCTCTCCTTACTCGACAACGCCATTCTTAAAAATCATTATGTGAATATCAGATACAATGTCATTTGTGGAGGTTGTGACTACAGCTAGTCTTATCTATAGACCCACTACTAGCCTGTACTTGTTAAATTTTGCTTATAGTTTGATCTTTTACCAAAAAAAAAGTAGGTACAAATGTAGTGTGTAGTAGATTGGTAGTATTGGGTTTTCCATATCAGCGTGTGCAGCAGAATTCATTGTTAAAATCCACTATATGTTGTAGCTCTATTTTTTGGCAAGAGCAGAGGGCATTATTTACAATAAACTCGGTTTTGTACGAGTATTAAATTTATGACCATATGCAAGGGGAATGATCATTTAATCAGCTACTTTACATGTTGTTGGTGTTGGTATTTCAGGGTGGTAGTGGTGGTGGTAGTCGTGGAAGCAGTGGACGGCCTACTCCACCACCTTCATTGTCTGCCTCAGGCGGTTCCAGCCAGCGTAACACACCGCCACTTGCCACGCAGCATGTGAGTGTGTTTGCTTTCTTTTTCTCCCTCTACCTCCTTTGTCAGGAGTGTAACCATGTGTCAGTGAGAGAGTGAGTGAGTGAGTGAAGTGGTGTGGAGTGCAGTGTATTCTATAAGTCATGCTTGTAATTATTTTAATAAGAACCAAGTTTGCTATATAGGTGTTGGTATTGTTGAAAAAAAGTATTTGGTTAGTTTGGCTTCATGAGCTGACATGACCTTGTACTATTTTTAGCCTCCCGGAGCACCCCCTGCCAAAGCAGCGCCAGACGTTGCATCTCAATTTGCACGACAAGTTGCAGCAACTCTAGCTGACGACTACCCGACTACTATGATTAATACCGGTCTACCCATGGAGATCAGCAGCAGTGAAGCAGAGACTAGTGGTCTGGCTGTAAAGGAGCCACCGTTACCTGCGCCACCTATGCAAAAAACTGCTGAGGTTGAGCCAGCACCTGCGGTGCTAGAAGCCCCGCCTGCTGCTGCTGCCCCCACAGAGAAACGCATGGCTCCCATGACAGTTGCCATGTCTAATCCAGATGTGTGCATTGTCACGGCAGAAACAAAGGTGGTGCCAAAACAAGAAATAGCCGCAAAGCCGGCGGTTTCCGAGTTCAGACAGGAGGTTCCACTGGCACCTCCAAAGAAGGAAGAGTGCATGGTGGCTGCTAAAGCAGACCTGAAACCAGAGCGAACGCAGAAACAGGAGGTAACACAAAAGCAAGAGCCACTGCAAAAGCAGGAGCCACTGCAAAAGCAGGAGCCAGTGCTTAAGCAAGGTGTACCTGACACAGCACCATGTAAACAAGAGACTGTGGCGTCGACTGTTTCACAGAAATCCGAGTCTCCAGTTGCACCGCCGAAACAGGCGACGTTAGTGCCTGCACCATGCAAACCGGAAACACAGAAGGAGGAAATGCCTACGGCGCCGAAACAAGAAGCACCAGTAACTTTCGTAGAAGAAACTTCGGTACCTTCTGTAAAGGAAGTGTCTTTGCCAGCCACACAGCAAGTGTCTTCACCAGTCGCGCAGGTGTCTTTGTCCGTCGAACAGGTTGAGGTGGCTGCAGTGACTCCTGTGCTGTCAGTACAGAAATCAGAGCTGGTGGTGAAAGAACAGGCCGAGCCAGTAGCTGCGATCCCTGAAACAGCCGAGCAAAAGGTCGCTGAGCCACCTGTCGTCGCACCCGTTGTCACCAAGGAATCGGAAGGTGTAAAGCCAGAAGCGGTTTCTAGTCAGATAGATACCTGTGAAGCTTCGGATGTGAAGCTACCGGAGCAGGAGGATGAGCCAGCAGCTGCCGTAGCTCCTGCTCCCCAGAAGGAACTTGTTCCTGAGAAGGACATAGTAACAAAATTACCAGAAGCCAGTGATGAAGTAAGGCCTTCAGTGAAGGCAGCAGAAGAGAAAAGTGCTGAAGCTGTGACGAAGCCAGCTGAACCAGCCAAGCCGAGCACAGCAAGGAATGAGGAGGAAGCTGTGGTGCCATCTGTTGGAAAGGATAGCACCATACCTGATAATGTGCCAAGCAAGAGTCCTTCAATAGAAAAAGATGATGAGAATGAATCTTTTGAAGGTGAGTTAGTTAATGTCATAGAAACTGTTCATTCCAAGCGTTTCATCCATATGGTTCAAGATAGGAATTTTAGCATTTTCACAAGTAACTCAATCATAGTAAGTAAAAAGCGAATTTCAGAGTTTGATTGGACACTGATTTAGGTGTTGTACAACAGTAGAAGGCGTCCATAGGCAGCAGTCCTGAATAAGCATCGAACAGAAATTGATTTTAAATACTCACACTGTTTCGCCGCATACGCAACATACACTTTATTCATGTTAAATAACTACAGATTCACGCTCTATGCTCCGCTTAAACTTTTGCCAGCTCTATGATGCAAATTTCTACAAACAGTGATCGCATTTCAATCACAAAATTGACTAGCCGTCACCATGGCTACGCCACGTGACGGAATGTCACGGCTACACGACAAGACCAATTTTACTTCTAATGCTTTCTAGACGTCTACGAGGCATCTTACTTGCGTTCATTATGCAAAAGAGTGCACTCTAGTGATGAATTTCACCGAAAAAAGGCCAAAAAATGTCTTTTCTAGAACCAAATAGTGCAACGGGGAACAATTTGCGTATGCTTACTGTTGTATGCCTCCTTTAGTTCTCTGCTTTGGGATACTACTTAGTGCTGCCATCTGTTGAGAGGAAGAGTCGTACAGCTGGCTTGTTTTACTACAACAGTGTTCTTAGCATGTAGAATGGTTTATGTCATCGGAAATATGGGGAAGCTACAGCCCCACCTCCATTGGGGAAAAATAGTGTTACCTCGGCAGACAACAACCTGTTTAATAAATTTGTAATGTAAAAAAAATCATCTGTAAACTAAGACGTAGGTTGTAGGAAAACAACGGCGCTTGTTGTAGGAAAATGATCGGCAGGATGAAGGGATAAATGTACACGTAAAATATACTGAATTAGAATTTATGGTGTTTTTTGCATTGTTAAAAGTTACCAGCAAAAAAAAAAATGTAGGCATCTGGATTAAGCAATTATGGCAGTGTTCTTAACCTTTTTTGAGTCATGTAACCTTTTGAGAATCTGGTGAAAGCTACAGACCCTAGGGCTGTCATTGGTGTTTTTTTTCGATATTTCGATCAGATTCGATCCGATTCGATTTAATATGGCCGTATCTAAAACGAACGCCAGCGGTAGTCGCTCGCTGGCGGGTCCGCGAGAGATCGATCGCCCGGGAGCGATGAACGAGAAGAAGCGCGAAACGTTATTATTGCTTATTTCAAAGTTTTGGATACCAACATTGTTAAAATTACTATCTAAAAAAGGGATACCAGATCTCAAATAGTCAAATACTTGGTATCCCATATGGATACCATAATAAAACTCTAATTTCAACCCCTGCGTAACTACGAAAATATTGATGCAGAGCCGTGAAAGTACAGTAAACTCATACATAACTTATTTGAGAATACATGTATTGTATTCTACTTATGATAACTATAATTGCATTTTATACATCGCTGTGCTTAAATGCAACATGGGCGAAGTATATTTACCTGAATTCAAACAGATTGACCTGGCGTCGCGGCGATGGCGAAGCAGCAGACATGCTTTTCCGGTAGACAGATTTTATTATAGAGATCAGTGAGACAGGATACGCACCAGAGACAATAGAACACCACAGTTATTGATTGTCTCTGTATGCATGCGCTCTGCACTACTTCCGATAATGGCGGCGCTCAGTCAAAAATGCTACCGATGCTTCGCTGGCTACATTTTAGTCACAAAAAGTAATAAACGACACTCTTTTACCAGAAAAAGGATGTACCAACTCTTTATTGTGATATACTGTATCGGATTTTGATTTATTTCGATATTGATATCGGACGCAAATCCATCGCGATTTAACGATGAGGTGGGTATCGATGACAGTCCTAGCAGACCCTTTACCCAGAAAAATGCACATAAGCACATGAACACGGAATTTTTATGCGCCTGGTTCACGGACCCCATGACCCCCGGCCATGGACCACGGGTTAAGAACCCATGAATTAAGCAATGCCAGACAGTGGATATGGATCATGTCGGATGTCGCAAATCACCTTCAGCTAAGGCGTGCTGGACCTGGCATGCATTACAGGCCTGTTTAGACCCCCTATGTATCAGTATCATAGATACTGCAATGATTTCCTGATTTTTATTTTGTTTTTTTATAAAAAAATTTTTTTATATATTTTACTTCAAATTTGTGAAAAATGAGACCTGCCAATTTTGACCTCTGCCCCTTACCCACAATATGATTTTACCCCCCCTTCCTCTCACATTTTGGGACTTTATCTCTGAATCCTTTGCAATCTTTGGTGCCATCCCTGGTAGATTTGCCGTTACAACTAAAAATTGTAACTTGCCTACCAAAAACTTTCTTTGCTTGTCGCTACACATTTCCCAGTAGTTATTTTATAGCCTATAGGTGCACACCTGAGGTTTTTGGTAGCAAATGCAGTATGCAACTGGCATCACAATACTTCATATGAAAACAGTGCTAGATTTTGTTATTGTTCTTGAACCTGGGTACCTTTTTTAGAATATTTTTCTAATATCACACAGTCGTAACTATGTGTCATAAACCGGTCTCCGGAAAATTTGCAAAAGTTCTGAAAAAGTTCAATGCAGACCATGAAGGTTCTACAATTATATCATTATATGTGTGATATTTATATAAATATTAAGATATAAGATTTCTTAGTAAACTGCATTTTTAGCGAGCTCCTTGACATCGTCAAGATGAGCTATTGCCATGTGGTGTCGTCCGTCGTACGTCCGTCCGTCCGTCAACATTTTGCTACAGTCAACGATAACTCAAGAACAGTTT